GTTGTATGAATCTCAACCATCGAAAATGACATTCACTTCTATATGTGGATATTTTAGTGCACCGCTGCGGTTTTTAAACTGTGGACAGCAACCGTCGAGGACCGCGATCGGCCTATCACCATCTCTTCTGGTCTCAGTTTATCCTGCATGGCAAAATCAGTGACAGAAACCTATTCCGACCTTCAACGGTCGTCTAGAATTTGTGTGGCTTGTTTGGACTGCAAACTCTGCTTTGATGGAAGACATTTTCCAGGTGTCTTATTTCTGGCTGGATGACCGGGGTTCGATCCCCGACGGAGGCAGAGGATTATTCCTCCAGCCTCTGCGTCCAGACCGGCTCTGGGACCCACCCAGTCCCCTGTCCAATGTGTACCGGGGTCCTTTCCCGAGGGTTATCGTCTAGTGTACGCCATATTGAAAATCGTTTCACATGTAAATGTATCCTACACCCCCAAAATCTGTTTATGTTATGTATATTACATATACATTATGTACCTACCAGTGTTTGGTGCCTTTGAGAACGTTGGCGAAGTTCGATTCGAGTTTCATGTTGAATATTACATTAACTGTACATATTTAGCGCAGACCTCCAATGCGAAACTTCAGTGACATACGTTTAATACATTTCGTAGGAGAGAAATGCTGACGGGCGGATACACAGACATGACCTCCCCATGGTACGTTAATTTTGTGCGAAAAGCACATAACAGAAGGAATAAGCTTGGGAGAGGTTAAAAAACACAGAAACACTAGCCCCGTCGACTTGTAGGTTTTGTCTTGTTGGTCAGAACTGTCACTCGGAAATATTCACAAAGAGAACTCGCAGTCATGGAGACAGATTAGAAAATGTTCTACCATTCTTTTAATTTCCGTTTCTGTAGTCGTGTGTTATCTGTCCCCGCGTATTATTTCCAGGACCGACGTCCCATTTGCCCTCTAACTCAGACTGATGTATCTCTTTTGTGTATCTGCAACTCCCATGTTCACAAGGGAGCGTCGCACAGGGCGAATCAAAAATCCAGCTCACAGCCTCTGCATTGTAACTCATCGACGTCGTCAAATCGACGATGAGATTCTTGTGTTCGCGTTGAGAGACGATTTCAGTAAAGAAGTTCATCATTCCAGATAGGCGAGAGTCGACATGCTTATAGCATGATTCCGTCGACGAAAGAACATTGCTGGGAGCGAAAATACTTGTGTACAATTTGATTTATTCATCATGGTTCAGAATTAATGTTGCAATAGTGAATCCTTTAGGTGTTAATTAGGACTACGTGAACGGGGGGAGGGGGGGGCATCGCAAGGCCTCAGACTACGCGGGTAACGTGACACATAAATACGCGTACATAAACATAATGTGGTAGACCAGTTTAATAGATATAAGTTTATGATAATGATTTATATTGATGGATTAATGAGCTTCGGAACATAAGAGGATGAATGTTAATTGAAATCGAATTTTGATGGTTTGCGCCCCGAACAATCTTTTTAAAGTATCTTGTGCTGGTCTTCTTTAAAGCGCTTGGTATGAAAATGTAAGTTCACCGCAATGTAACCGACCAAGAACCATTTGCTGGTACGTACAGTCTTTCTAAAAACATTGTAAATGGGTACAGTAACGTTCAGAAATAAAACGCAAGGAAAAAAAAAAGAGATTTCCGAGTGATATTTTCAAGTAAGTTTGTGTAATGGTTGCTGTGCGGGACAGTCTGTTATAAAAACAAGAGAACATCAAACAATCAGTCTGTATACATGCACTTTTCGAGTGCTTATATATTTTGAACAAATGTCGTACTATTTAAGTTGAAGTATAAGAATAGGATACTTAATCTGGTTTTAATATGCCTTGATAATCTAAGTAGTCTTCATGTTTCTGTATAATTAATACATACCTCCTGATTCATCGATTCTTGCTACTTTCCTTGTCATCACGATCAAAGGATACATCCACCCTCACGAAATTATGCTCTGAATAAATCTAAATATTACATGTTCTTCCTAATGTACGCTGAATAAATACTGTAATTGGACAAGCGAGCTCATGTATTTTAAAGCTCACACAGACGAGACTTCAACTCCAGTTTCCTGTGTTTAACAACTTAGCTAATGTATGCAACGCGTGAAATCATTGGCGCATTCTTTAGGATTTGACTTACGTCAGATGAAATCCTGGAATATCACTTCTCACAGGCCGGTAACTATGCGAAACAAATAATAGTATTATGATATTAAAAATAGCCCATGTGGACTCGAGTGGATAAATAAAATGTCTGACTTAACTAATTATTCAGATGCGACGAATCTGATGAAACAGCTGGTTTCATACCGTCTTTTGTTTTTTGGACCAAGTCTTGGTAGAACGAGTTTATTGTTTTCTTAGGAAATGCGATCTGGTCTGTCTGTTGATCGGGTTTGCAGAGCAGACATTGAAACAAAAAGGAAACTGTCGTTGCTGTGGCACTGCAAGGCACAGGTGCCCAATAGGGGTAGAGGCACATCTGGTCGCCAAATTCAATTAATAATTTATGCATCGTAAATATAAAATTATATACCGGGTGAGCACAAAACGATTCGGAAAATAAATGAGACGTAATTTTGAACTTCACAGCTTCACCGGTCGACAGGAAAACTTTCAAATTTTTGTACAAACCTCACGGAGACCTGATTTGTGCTCCGCGAGTCACACTCCAGACTTTTGTGCGGAGTGTCCGTAGTTATGGAAGCTACGGTAGTTGTGATTCGAATTTCATGCGTTTAGCGTAAATGAATTGTTGGCTGGGTGGTTCCATGCACGATGCTCAGCTCTTTCAGAATCTTTTCTTCGCTAACTACAGAACACTCGAACTCCTCTGTTTTGGGGTATTCATTTGTAAACAAAACTTGGCGAGGCTTTCAGTCGACTGGTGTGGGTGCGAAGTTCTAAGAACACCGTATATATTTTCTGCGTTATTTTGAAAGTTTAATGTTATTTTGTGCTCATCCTGTATTTAGTTTGAGCTTTCTAAATATTGCTATCCACCCTGACGATACTAACCTTACCAGGACCGTCCTGTGGGCGGGGCGAGTGGGGCACCTCGCATCGCCATTACGACGTATGAAATATTTCGTGCACAGCGACACCTTAAGCGCCCAAGAAATAAAGATGTAATGTGAAAATAAAATGCATGTCCAGTGCATCCTTTGGCACCGAGCACATCTTATTAGGGAAGTCATCTAATAAAGGTTTGGGGACTATTTCATCTATCGATTACGGATCTGTTACAAGAAAAATACCAAAGTAATTGGTAATTGCAAAAGCTACAATGATTCTCGGCGCTGTATTTGAATTTTCATTCGTTGTTGATGTAAAATTCGCTGTTATAATACAGGACGTGTAATTAACGAAATACAAGTTTAATTAATACGATTACCTCGTGTCACACGTAGACCTAGTGTGACGCCTTCGTAGCAGTGAGCGTCTGTGAATACGAGGATCAATGTTTTATGCAAATATCATATCTGTTGTTCGTGTCCATCGCTACAACCCTGTTTATCCGGAAGGTTAGGTTCGTTCCATTCGTATGCGACCGAAATGCAGGGAACGTTTGATAAATGCATTATACAGAGATATAAATGATCGTGCATCTGTGCTTAGAGCCTTGTAAAATACGAAACTGAGCTCAGAGTGAGCTTAAATTAATCAGTTTATTAGTTTCCGGAAGTCCACGTGACTGTTTGGGCTCTGAACAACGCATGTCAAGTGAACGATCTGTATATTAAGAATTCATACTTGAAGTTAGCAAGGGAAGAGACAGCTTGAAGAATCCGGCAGACAGACGGAGATTTTGAGCTTCTAGCGAGCTTGGCTCCGTATTGAATGAGATGAGTTGGCGTGGGTCTGGAGTTGCAAGGCGAGGGGACTGGAATTCTCGTTCAGCAGTTGGTCGTAAGAAAACTAACCCTGCGATAAAATCGACTATGACTTTTGCACATTTACCAGCCAATTTTTTTTTTTTGGAATATTTGAGTAAGAGATAGGCAAAATAGCTGGATGTCACGAGATGAAAAAGTTGATGAGAGATTTGCTGTACCGACATACACCGAATGATAGAATGGCCAATTCTGAGTTGAACCTTGAAGCTGGAGCAGTCTAATAGGACTAATCATGAAGGTGTAGTTGATAACGATATTGGTCCACGGTGTATCTTATAATTATTCAGATAAAAAATACCTTTTACGGGACGGAAGATGAATCCTAGCATCAACAAAGTCCCTCCTTTAAGTCCTGTCATAAACCAGTTAACTATAAAGTACATCTTCATAATTTATTTTAGCAAGCTTCGTTATAACATTATCGTCTCATATACGTATTAGAGTCCAAAATGGCCGCTTATTAAACTGGTGAATAATTACTTGTCAGAAGTTGTTTGAAACAGGTTTCTCTCCTCGGGAGTGAAGAAAATTTTCCACGCGTATGAAACAGAAGAAAAACAGAAGAAATAGGCCTATGTAACTTATGAAATAATCGCAACTTAATTTTTCACTGGTACTTAATGAAGCTTAACGACAACAGACGAGGGGGGGGGGGGGGGGAAAAATGCTTCACACATCCGTAACTTTGACATAGGTGGAAGGTTAGGTTGTTTGGAAGTTTCTCGCCTCGGCTGCTATGCCCCTCCCCGAGGAAAGATCCCCGGTACGAATTGGATAGGAGACTCGGTGGACTGCAGAACCTGTCTGAACGTTGTGTTCAGTTGGATTCTACCTGTCCAGCCCGCAGCCTAGCATCAGCCGGACAGTATTTAAGTATCTCAGGACAGGGTTTATTGGCAGGCTGTTATGAACACGATAACGAAACTTCTGTCTCCATAAACGCTTGACTTTTCTTGGGGTTAATTTAAATTTGCGAGGCAAAACTTTAGTGTTGGTATGGAAGTGAAAAGTGTGATCGTCGAGACCAGTTTTCGATGTAGGCGACTATTGAGCTATGTGATATTTTGGAAAAAAGAAGTGTCTCTCACCTTTGTAAATGATTTTATTGAATGTGCTGGTGATGATTCGGAGTTCCGGATTGGGCGTGTCCCCGATCTGAAATAGAAGAGAAATCCGTCGTGAGACAATGATGAAATGCCTTTCTGAAATAATTCACTTCAACATGTACCTGACGAGGGATTGATAATGTATTAAGTGGACCAGAATGTGACTTTCGCCTTTGAAACACAGAAAAAGCTTACGACTGCACAAAGTTATTTAAATGTTCCGGCAGAATTCATAAAGATTACTTTTCTATTGGATATATTTTAGCTCTAAAAGTCTTGGAAAGTTAAATTCTGTGTGTGTTTAACACGTCTCATAATTAATTGAAGAAATTAAAATTATTTCGTGGGTTACCTGCTGGGTTCATGGGCAAAGTAGTATGCACTCGAATCCAACTTGGGTTAAAATTAACTCATAATGAATTTTTCTAGGGCTGCCAGCCGTGTAAGGTGGTTTAATGAAGAAAACAGCAACTTTCCTCGTCCTCAGGGCACTGCAGTTGTAGGAGATGGTTCTCGAAACGTTGATTTTATCTTAAGCCACCTTACACGGCTAATAGCCTGAGAAGAATTTACTATACTTAGTCGCCGTGAAGGTTTCAGATCATAAACTTAAGTTAATCACTGGTTTTGCGTCCGGTAACTCCGAATGTAGCCTTTTAATTTATTGTATTTGGTTTTGTAGTGCTACGTATTTTCCTCGACTCTTGTATCCTTGTCACATTCACATCTTACATACACCAATTTAACTTTTTTAATTGTTCGTTTGTTTAGACCGGAAGTGGTCATTATCAGACTCGTGTGTAGTTTGGTTCTCGGAAGAGGGGAACTCCCCCCCCACCCCTCTGTTTCCTAAATGTCGTTAAAATACTAAACTTCGTAACGTTGATAGGTGGACGTAGGAGCCGAGTCGTTAAATATTAATTACATAAGATGTGTTCTTTAAATGATTAAGTCAGTTTTATTTGTACTTGTCTATACTCAATTCCTTTGCAGTCGGAACGAAAATTTATTTTTGAAACAGCACGTGGACTTTTAAATGAGTGGTGATTGGACGAATGGAAACACGAATGCAAAAATCTCCCTGATGATGATGGTCTTTGCAAATATTTTCATTCAAAACCATCGGTTCTTCTCGCACTAGACTGTTAGTATCTTGAAATTTAACTGCTCAGAAGGGATGGGAATGTAAACAAACAAAGAATGTGAAGTTATACATACCGCACTGCATTATTATGGGGTTGCAGGGTGGGCGAGGACAAGGGGGGGGGGGTTGGTTTGCAATATGCTAATTAACAGGGCGTGTCATGGATACTGTCCTGTTCTGCGATAATAAAAAGTCAAACAAACAAACAGAAAAAAACAACAGAGGAATGCCACGCACCACAACCCATATATCTAAACGTGTGGCAGAAGATGGCGTTACTGTGTAGACGAGGGCAGTAAATTTACTGAAAATACAATTCTGCTTCTAACTACTTTTTTTCTAAATAGTAAACCTTTTTTAGTGTAGCCTACACTTGATTCTGTTTCAGGGTTGTGAAGTATTTGTAGGTCTTTGCATTTTGGAATGGAATAATTTTACATCGTGTAGTATTTATAAATGGTATTTTAAAATTTACAGATGTGAAGTTGTTCTTTTTTATTGAGAGTAATTAGAAGCCACCTAGACTACGTTTAAATTCAACGCTTGAAAGATATTGGAGCTGTAGATTTCTAGTTGAAATTCCAGCTAATATTATCCCAGTACTACAAACATTTTATCTAATTTAAGGACGGTTATGAATTTTAACACTTCTGGAACACACGTAATGAAAGTCATCAAATGGAGGTTCTCGTTTAAATAACATAAAAACACACACACGCATTTCTGTTACCAAGATCAGTCGGATGATATTATTGAAACAATCGATTTTAAAACCGAACGTGACCCCTAAATATATTCTGCGGGCTAACCTACTGAGTTATTTAGTGTTGTGGAAAGCTCTAAACAGAATTTAGTTATTACGGCTGGATGCACGGGTTTAAATGTGGTATAAATATTAAAGTATTTATAGGGTGTCGGAAATTCCGAGTTACTTAAGTAAAAATAACTAATGTAAAGCCAAAAGTTAGCATTACGCAATTTATTTTTTTATTATTTAGTGTTCTGTCTGACGACAGGTCCATATGACCAGGATCCTTCCATCCTTTTCTCGGACTGGGACCTGTTCATATACGTTCTTGGCAGATGCTCCAGAAGTGGTTTGCCATTGCCTTCTGGGTGTCGGAAATTCCGAGTTACTTAAGTAAAAATAACTAATGTAAAGCCAAAAGTTAGCATTACGCAATTTATTTTTTTATTATTTAGTGTTCTGTCTGACGACAGGTCCATATGAACAGGATCCAAGGCCAGCGTTCTAACCGCTAGACCACCTCATCTTATTATTATTTAGTGTTCTGTCTGACGACAGGTCCATATGAACAGGATCCAAGGCCAGCGTTCTAACCGCTAGACCACCGTGGCAGGTTCATTACGCAATACGGGATGTCAATAAGACATACAAGGAAAGTTGACGAATTTTATTTAAATAAGTAACTGCTATAGAAGGTAGGTCTAATACCCTGAATACATTTAAATTAATTAATTAATTCAGATTTTAGGTATTAATTAATTCCCTAACAAACTTAACAAAAATTTTAACCGAAATAGTGTTCTTAAATTTTTTAATCTGATCTTATATAATGTTCTTGAAATGTAGAAGACCAAATTAACTCCAGTACACCAATTGATAACCACTTTATTTAAGGATCAGAAAATGTGGCTAAATATTATAATATACTTCGATTTGTAGACAAAGTATACGGTTTTAGGCGCGTTCCAAATGAAAGTTGCATAACTGCACACATAAACGTCAACCCGTCTGTCTGTCAGCAAAAACTCTGAAACGGATTTTCATGAAGTTTCATGTTGGAGAATCGGCACATTTCAGTTTATTAAAATCTGTGTACAAAAATGAACCGTTTACTGTTCTTTCCATGTAATCTTCTTTGTAACATTTTATAGCCTTTTTGAAGGTTTACGTGGCGTTTTGAACGTCATCTCATGCAGCAGAACAGCTGATCGAAGCCGTGACGTTGTTTTGCGGGGATCCTTATTTCCGGAAATAGAAGTTCAATACGGAAGAGAGTATTATGCAGATATGGCACGCAACATGGTTTTCGAGTTACAGTTTGGAGGGAAGGGGGGCGGGCTGGCGTGTGAAACAGCATCGCAGAGCACAGAGCGATAGAGAATTGTCCGCGATTATGCAAACAAGGACGCGCTCTCGCTACGTTATTGTTTTGTTGTGAAGGCATTTCCGTTTCTCTCTCTCTCTGGGCTGACAAGAGGATAGTGCACAGGAAAGTACTTCGCTTCACTGACGCTAGGTGGCTCTGATGGATGGTTCGTCTGCATGCGCAACTAGCCATCATGTTTGAATTATTATTGAACCATGTAGCAGTAGTCGTTTTTGAAGAAACTGGTTGTCATAATTTTCACGATATTTTACAACAGAGAAAGTAAATATAATGGAATTTCATGTTGAAGACCTTGTTATTAAAAAAATTATTTCGTAGTTCAGACTGGCGGTTGAAACAATGCAGTCCAAATGGAGATCGCTAATGCCGATTTTACACTTCGAGGTTCTGGTAACATTTGCTTGGATCTACGATAAACGAAATGGAGTAGGGAAAACAGCATTGCGTTCAAATTCTTCTACCCTGGAAATGGAGGCGATAAGGTTTTCTGAAACGATTTTTTTAACCATATACAAGACAACATTCTAACACAGTTGACCACAATCGAAACAACGTACCTAATATTATTTAATTACTTATTTAAATCGATTCTAAAGATTTCTAACGATGTTGTTTTGACATTTTTAGTACAATTTTGGCATCTGATTACACTTAATCGTGTATTAAATAAATTATGTTTAAGGTGTTAGTAGCGTTTTGTGTATTAGTGTTGTTAGTGTTTGCCATAATAATGTTGTTTTGTTAATATTTGTTTTAGTCATATTTAATAGTTTTTGTGCTATGTCTTCATTTATATTTTGGTTCCTGATGCAGGATTCTAAAATGGAAAGTCAAATTCAATTGAACTGTTGTTATTTAGAACCTATCTAAGAGTGTAAGCGCTTAACATGGCATGTTCCTACACGTACAATGTTCTGTGGTTAGTTTTCTGTTTGTCGGGGCTTATAAAGTATGTCAATCACGTAACTCGAGTAATTTTATATTTTTTATATAATTGAAAGAATTACAGGCAGAGTTTTAACCTATTGTAGTTATTATTAATGTTGGACAATATCACCATTGCTTTAGTATTATCACCTTTCCCTGTAATTAGGTTTCATTGCGCGCTATTAAATAGACCCCCTCTTAGACAATGCCATTCTCGTACTACAGATACGGAAATGATTTAAAGGCCGTGTTCATAAGGTAAATTTACAGGTTAGATTCCTCGTTCCCCAGTAATTCCTGGGGAAATATTGATAAATGTGATTTCCAGACAAAAATGCATACGCGTATGAATTTCCTGTTTTATCCATGCCCGTTACATCTTACCCACCTAATTATTTTATTTAGTGTTCTGTCTGACGACAGGTCCATATGAACAGGATCCTTCCATCCTTTTCTCGGACTGGGACCTGTTCATATACGTTCTTGGCAGATGATCCAGAAGTGGTTTGCAATTGCCTTCTTCTGTGTGTGA